ATCCAACACTATTCAGACCTTTTTTAAGGACTTTTAAAATTGTGTAAGGAAACAATAAATAAAACAAAAATAAAATAACACTACAAAAATATTTCCTTACATTGTGACCGAAAGGTTTTCGGAAATTCTCATTTAAAATTCGCGCGCTGTATATTTTTCGATATTTTAAGTTATGTAGTTTGGCAGCACTGTCCAATTACTATGCCAAAAATGAGCGCGATCTGTCAGACAGTTCGTTTACGGCAGCTGTTGAAACCAGTTCACCTCAGTAGTGCGTTGCGAAAAAAACAATGGAAAAAAATATTGAACAAAGAGTTTGCATCAAATTTTGTTTTTCGAACGAAATTTCGTGTGCAGAATCGTTGCGAATGCTACAAAAGGCTTATGGGGAATCAGTTTTATCGAAAACTCAAGTTTATGAGTGGTACAAAGCCTTTCAGGACTGTCGTACGACCGTCGAAGACATGCCGCGTTCTGGACGACCTTCGACCTCTACCACCGACGAAAACATTGAAAAGGCAAAGGAAATCGTGTTCAAAAATCCTCATGTGAGTGTTAGAGAGATAGCACGAGAGCTAGGCATCGGTCGTGAGATGGCTCGTTTGATTTTGGTGGACAATTTGTGTATGCGACGTGTCAACGCCCGGCTTGTTCCGATTCACCTCAATTTGTTCAACATTATCAACGATTTTAAGGCCAAACATTCAATAAATACCATCGAACAGCCACCGTATTCACCTGATCTTGCACCGTGTGACTTTTTCCTGTTTCCCAACCTCAAATTACCACTCAGAGGAACGCGTTTTGAATCCATAGAAGACGTAAAACAGAATTCGCAGAGGGAACTCAAAGCCATACCGGAAAGCGCCTATAAAAAATGTTTTGATGATTGGAAGAAACGTTGGCATTTGTGTATCGCTTCTAATGGAGCATATTTTGAAGGAGATAAAATAAATATTGATGAAGGTTAAGAATTTTGCGTTTTATTTAAAATTTCCCGAAAACTTTTCGGTCACAATGTATATGATTTTTTTCTGTTTTTGAAATAAAGTTCGAATATTTCGTGTTCAATTTGGCACAGGATGTTTAACTTAAAATCACAGCATATTTATTTTATTAAACATGTGGGTATTGAAATGGAAATAAGGTAAATATGTATGTAAACACATATACACTGGTTAAATATTTTTTATTGTATTATTTGAATAAATGTTGGACTAAAATATTTGGAATTTTTTCCTTTTGAAGGCGCAAATATGTTTCACAAATCGAACTTAAATGGTAAACATTTTATACATTTTTGATTATAAGCAAACATGTATTCTATAAGAACTCAACATTTGTTTTATGCAATATAAAACGAGAACACAATTTTACAGATACTTAACGTTTTTACGGGGAAATCGCAAAAAAAACAGTGAAAAAAAACAAATAAGTTGAATGTTTACTTTGAAAAATCAAATAAAAATTCCGCAAGCTTCAAAGCTTCAAATAAAATACTAAGAGTTCAGCATTTGTGGCATGACATTTAAACCCTCTTTATCCTTTAATAGGTTTCGGTATGGAAGTGTTAACCTTCGCAAATGCCGCAAATACTTTAAAGAAGGTGCCATGATGATTGCAAAGAAAAATGTAATAAAAAGCGAGTATCAGACAAATAAAAATTTCACCTTTAAATTTCACAGGATTTGTCTAGGCGGCGCCTTCACTGGTTTATGTATTTTTCATGTTTACAAGGGTTGTGCGAAAATTCAAAGTCGAGAGCTTGTGTTTGACAGGCAATTAAAACAGATCCTTTGCGGGCGAAAACATGCGTTCCCCTGTTTTCAAATTTTACACATGTTAAATTTAAAAAAAATATGTTTACAAAACCATTAAGTTTATTGGGTATTTGTGATTTATAAGATTTGATGTTATTAAAAAAATTTTTTATTTCACTTCTAATGTGTTTTATTTAATCTGTCAATACATCAAACCATTTAAAAATCATTACAAAAGGATAATTTTTTTTTCTTATAAGTACTTATATTATAATTTAATATAATATAATAAGAGTGAAATTATAATAACACAACTTCAAAAAATCAGTTTTAATTAATGTGTTTCTGAACAATTAGGGTTATTCATGAGAAATATATAATAAAGTACCCCTGAAAACTTTTTTTTTATATTAAACTATTAAAAAAAGTTAAATGTATTCGTTTTATTTTTATAAGTTTCAATTAAAATTAAAATTTTAATAAAACTTGTACAAAAAAAAACTATTTCAGTAGAACTGAGTAGATTCATTTGAAATTATCTATTTGAGATAAAAAACTTTTTAAGTTAAATAATTCTTGTGGCGAAAGTTTTGGTAATGCAGTTTTAAATATTTTACAGTGAAGTTCTAATGTTTGCAAAAATAAAATAAAGTTCTAAAATCTAGCTAATATCTAATTAAGTTTAACTTCTGAGAAAACTTGGGTAGGAAACTATAAATATTTTCCGTTCTATTTACAGTAGTTGATTGAAAGCGGATGATGGGCATAATAATAACTGCTGATGATTTTATAAAACATTCTATATTTGGTTATCAGTATCTAGTCTGCAACATATCTCTGTTCTCAAATCATCAATATGAATAAACATTATTTTATTGTTTAAGTCAAGAGTTGATTGGGAAACAAAATTTGTCAAATTTAATCCTAATCTTCATATATAAATATCAATATATATCAATTGATATATAAATATCAAATAAATATATAAATATTCGATATCCTTGGTGATAAGTATATACACCTATACTACAATATCCTCAATGATTGAGCAACCTATTAAACTTAATAAGTTCAATATTGCTATATTGCAGATTTGGCAACATGTGAACTCCTTTAATGGATTTAATAATCCGAAGCACACAGACTTGCACAATCAAGAGGATATTTAAAGAACTATATCAATATAAATATATAGATATTTTTATATTTATGTATAAATATAATAAAATTAAAAAATGTTTAATTTTTAGTAGTTAACAGATTTTGTTCAAAACATATGAAATGTAAATAATATGGTATAAAGTCAGTAAAATAATTTATGTCCCAAAGATTGTGTGATTTTCGTTATGACAATTATTTTTGAATAATAGTTGCATTCATATATTCATTATAGAACGGAACATCTCTACTTCAGAAATTTGTGATAGTACATACTTTAGAGAAGGCTTCATTTATAAGAATCCAATAAAACTATGTGTGATTAGTATTATTATTATTATCCTTTATTATTTTTAACTCTTATATCATTAAATGTTGTCGTTTTTGGGAACTTGCTCCAAAAATATTGACGTATATACTAACTGAAAAAGAAGGGTCTGTCCGAAGAGATAGATAGTCTAGAAGCAGACGAGACACTGGGTCGAAAATTACTCTACCCTTCTGACATTAGGAGGTCCACAACGGCTGACATTCATTCGAAAGACGAAATGAGCTAGGACTTTAAAAATAAAATTGAGCTGTTCTTTTTCTGAACTATAATAAGAGTCGTCAGTTACTACAAACAGTGACTATATTTTAAAATTTTTATAATTATTAATTTGTGTATGTTAACCAAAAAAACAATATACAACTAAAAGCAAATATTAATTTATGTTTAAAAATGGTTGAACGTACGAACTGCTTAAAAATGTATACTGGAAGTCATCAGAAGAGTCAAACGAGAGAAAATAACGCGCTATCAGAAGACCTAACAGGTTTCGATTCAAATCGAATTTTAGTAAATTCGTTGCAAAAGGTCAGACCATAAGTGCAGAGTAGAATACCAGAGTTGGTTTTTTGTTGTGCTGTTTAATCATTAAGTTGCATTTCAAGTAGAATACCTTGACTCTATTATATGTATGAACTTGATATTTGTGTCCATTGAAAATATGGTAAATAAATTTTAAAATATTACTGTGTGAATATCCGTATAGCTGCCAGAAGTAGAGGTGGCTATTATTAGCGAAGACAAAAGCTATGTTTCAGGGCATAAGTATATAGATAAAGTAAGGATATATCGAGGAGTCTATGTAAATCTATTGACCTGATGAACCAAGGCACTCTCCCGAGTTGCTATTATTTAAAAGCGGTCAGAAGTGCTAATAGAACATTAGTGTTCGATTCATGATAAATTTAAGGAAATGAAACATATTGTCATTACTTAATAATTTAATAATAATTTGGTACTAAGACCATATAAAATTTAAGTAAAATATGTCAGAAAAATTTATTTTTGCAATTTTGCAGAAATGTTATACAATAGTAGTTATTGTACCCTAAAATTATTCTATTCAAATAGAAGTGAAAAATAGAAAATATTAAATAATTTCATATTCAAAGATAGACTAAATCTGATTAATCAATTCAATATAAATTTATTTGTCTTGCAATTCTTTTTAAAGTTTTACTTAAATTTATTACTTTAAAAATAAAAATAGTTTTGTAATTTTTCAAAATTAAATGTAACTTAAACCCGCAACGACAGAATGGAAAGAAAAAAGACACACAAAAGCCCACTTGAAACTTTTACTTTTTGTTCCCACTGTGAAGGAACTTATCAAGTAACCACTTCAGAGGTCCTTTATGTTGCATTTGCCATCCTTAAATGTGTAACCTGTTGATTGTTGATACTCAAATAAGAATCTTGTAACTTGTAGCGCAAACAACTATGCTTTTTTCCACCTCCTCGTCCTTCTCCACCTTCTGACACATTTTTTCATTGTGTTTTCCTTCGTTTTTTATATTTTGTGACTCACATTTTTATGGCTGGGCCTTACGCTAAGTAAACTTAGACAAGAAATTTTCTATTAAAAGTCATAATGAACAGAATGTGAAGTTGAGAAATGAAGAGAAACTTTCACATAAAAACTTAATCAATTATTTTTTTTATTATAGCTTTTTCTTAATTTCTAAATGCTACTAATTAATTCTTCAAGTAGTTATACAGTTGCTCATTTGGTAATTTATTTCTTATCTTTTTAGCTGAAAACATACACTTGGATGACTTGTACACGCGATATCGTCAACGCCTTCGCAAATCCCTTTTTAGATCGGGTTTACTGATATCACTAGTGGCATGTGTTGTATCCATTATAATTGGCATCATCTATCAGCAAGTAAGTACTGGCCAACATACTGCCGAGCACACCTATTTTGTGTTCTGGAATCGATACTTTTGTTGACTTTTGCGTAAAGGCATTTCACTATTGTGACTTTTATCTTGCCTTATAAACTTAAACGATTAATCTTTTTTTCTTATTTTTTTCTCTTTTTTATCTTTTTACATTTTCTGTATGCTGACAATTTTAGCAATGGTTGCAAACTATTTTGTTGGCATTGGCAGCGCTTATATCTGCAAGCATCCTTACTGCTCTCCAATTTCCAGCTGTGCTCAGTTCTCCTGCGGCTGCTTTAGCCTTTGCCATTGTGACCACTTTCTCCTTGGGTACGATAGCAGCAATTACAGGTGAAGAATTGGCGCCATTACCGTTATTTGCTGTTTTTCTGGTGAGTACACAAACAATGCGACATGAATGTTCCTACCGCAAATCCTTAATGATACCATTTCCGTTTCCTTTCACTTAATCATAAATAAATGTTAAGGATTGTTTTCAACATAATGCACATCAGGTAGATTTAGTGCGATTACGACTGTACATGTTGGTATTTACAGACAAACATCAGTTTTGTTAGTTTTGGGGCTAAAAGCACAATAAAGTTTTGTGGTTTTAATGAAAATCATTAGTCACCGCAATTGGGACAATTCAGTGAAATATTTAAGTTGACTTTCATTTAATCAGGCAGCTTATAATACTTTAAGTAGAACCAATGTAGATGATGTTCCAGATATTGATTGATGATTGTTTGACTTGTTTACTAAAAGAAAATTACCCCAATTATATTGTCCAATAATTATTCTGACAAATAGCTCTTTAATATTAGATTTTCTACGCAAATAATTGATTTTGACAATGTGAGAAATATTGAAGAAAATAAACAAAATTTATTTGAGGTTTTCATTGTATCAAAAATAAGTTTTTTAATTCTTACACTGTGGAAAAATCGATTAGAATTTATTTACTGCTGTATTTCAGTGGTATTTCAGATTTGTTAATAATTAGGTATATTAATTTATAGGATACCAACTGTGGCGCTTGGAATATGTTTCAACACATGATCATAAAAACATAATTACTTTACTTTTATATAATATATAATTTAGTTTTTGATTTCTGTTTTAGAATTAATCAAGCATTGTTTTTATGGTCATTGTTATAATAATTCTTTAACCAATCACTTCGAAAATGTCTCCTAATATTATGTCATTTAAGTCTAAAAGTTTCAAACTTTTGGATGAAATAAAAAATAAATTATTATCATAACAAATTATTTTATTCATTGTAATAAAGGTTCTAAATAGGTCCTAAATAAAAAGGACCTAGACACAAAAATGAAATTTATTTTTTTTTTAACTTCTATTAACTCATTTACTTATGATCGAAGACATTTTGATAACTATATAATCTTAGTTATCTCAGTTGAAATCTCAGTGGATATTTAGGTTTAACAATTCGATTCTGATGTTAATTGAATCTGTTAACTGGGGTAAAATTGTGCGGAAAACACTTTGAAATAAAACTTGTGGATTCCTACACAAACTTGTATGTAGACTACCGCTGTCCTACCGTTTTAAGGGATAATTTCAAAGTTTGAAACAGAGTGACAGAGTAACAGAGTCAGAATTATTATTAAGAGTCAAAATTATTACTAAGAGTCAGGTTTACACTATTGCTTAATTTCTTTTTTTAATTTATGATTACGTTATTGATTCCAAGTCTCTTTTCCAAATAATGCACACAATCTTTTTTGTATTTCATAAAATACGTCAGAGGTTCGCTACAAACCCGCATTTGAATGAGGCATTGTGTTCACAACTTTTCAAACTAAAAACATACCGTCCAAACCCGTTAATTTATATACCATATGCTATGATTTTCTTGATCATGTTGAACAGTGCGATCCTACGCCAGTTATTTCTCTTTGTTAAGTTGCCTTTTTTAGGGAGCTTGATAACTGTACCTATTTTAATTTGCAGTCGTTGAAACTCATCTAATATTTACTACAAAAATCACAAAGGACAAGATTACACATCATGTGGTTATAAATCAAGAACGCTGTGAATATGCCATGCGAATATTAAGCAATAATATATTTATTATACAAAAAATTGAATTTGAATTTAAATCAACTTTTGGATAAAAAAGTATTAACAAATTATTATGAAATTAGAAAAAGTAAGGTTTAAACAAAATAAAGAAGATTACTACATAACTTCGTTTTAAAGTGAAGATCAAAATCGTGAAAACTTTGGGGATTATTTATATAAATACAATCCTTTGCGTAAATTCATAAAAAAATGTGCAATGATAAAGAGCATTATCTTGGTGATCAATTCAAATCATCACAATTGAAATTACATATTTCAAAACAAAACAACAACAAAACAAAGACAAGACGTATTGTATGCTTTCTGGCATCGTTTTGTCAATACCACATCTTCCAAATTCAGTTCTTCAAATTAACACGAAAAAAAAATTGATGATCAGCGATCAGAGTTGACCATTTGTGCTAGATTTTTTCATTTTAAAAAAAAAATTCTGGAGGTAGGTTATCCTTTTAATTCCGTTTATTACTTTTCACTGCCCCAGAGGGAGCAATATCATTTGTTGATATGTAGTACCCCTCATATGTTGAAACAGTCACATCACTGAAAATTTGAGGCGAAAATTTTAACTTATTACAATTTTATTATGTTTAGAAGTCGTTAAATGATTTATATTATAAAATTTATATTAAACTAAATATATAATACATCATAATAGGGCTGCCCAGACCAGATAAGATCGCGTCCCAACACATAACATATCATTGAAAAGGCTGGAGGGCCGCAGAAATAAATACATCCGTTCATAATTTTTCTAGAGAAAAATAAAAACACGGCGATAATGTTAAATTTAGTTTTATTAATTCTTTATTAATTTATCTTTAACAATACTATCACTATCAGCATTATTAATATTAGTTCTTGCTATACGGAAATTATTTTATTTTTAATATAACGTTAAAATAATATTGTACAAAGAAACATTTACTAAAGTCTTTGTCAATTGAGTGAATTAAAGTGAAGTGTAATAAGTTATTTAAAATATTTTTATTCATTTATTTGGGATACAGTAAAAATTAAATAATGTATTGTTACTGAAATATAGCAAAGAAAAATTTGCCTAATTATGGTACATTAGAAACATATCGAAGGCCGCTAAATATTACCCGCGGGCCGTGTTTTGGACAGCTCTGCATTAGATGATAGTTATTTTTGATATATATTACTGAAACAGTATAGTCAAAATAGAACAATGAATTGGATAAACCTTTCTATATAATATAACTTAATATACAATTAATATTAGGCAAGTCTAATGTTCCTCAGAATTACTTATTTTACAAAATAAACGCAATAACTTAACGATATACCGAATTGTAGGTTCAGAAATAAATTATTTAAATACAAATGCATTTTATAATGAATTCTTAATTCTTATTTTAATAACAAATGGCCGATTTTGTAGAGCTTTATTTATGATTAATTTTCAAAACGTTTTTAATTTAATTAAATTTGTTTATAATTGTATTACTTGAAATTATTATCTGTTGATATGAACGATTTACCTGAATGTTTTTAAATCCAATGTCACTATTGACTGAAATAAAAATAAATTTCAATAAACATGCAATTTCCTCTTGCAGGGCATACACACAATGCTGCCAATATCCTGGCCAGTTTCAGTGGTTTTAGCGGTATTTATGACGGCAATACACATTGTCTATAGAGTGGGTACTAGCCAGGATTATATGCCAAATTTACCAATGGTAAGTATCTATGCAGTGCACTGCATTATTGCAATTTTAAATGCACAGTTAACAAGGACAATGAAAACAGATAGCCAAGGGCGATCAATATTTGTACACCACATGAGAAAAATCGCAACACAAATGGGCAACATTTACTCACTGTATCGTAAGCAACATATGGGAAAATTCTGTTGGCAACTTTAATTGGATTGCAAATAATTTATCGCTGGTCTAAGTATCTAAAGTTTCCAACAGCCCATGCAACAAATGTCTTCAGAGAATGTTTATTTATTGCAAATTTACACATTTTTGAACTCGAAAACTAAATGAAGCTTGCACTCGCCTAATAAAAACAGCTGCTGCCATATGTATTAGACGAGTTGGTTTCATATTGTATAAGCAACTTGGCTTCCAGCATTGTTACTGCTGCGCTTTCGATAAAGTTTTTCCAAAACCACATAGCCATGTGGCTCCGAGAACTAAGCTAGTGTGTGCGATGATTAAATGTACAAACATTTTGCAAAAGTTTCCATTTTCGATTGTTAGCCTGAATCTATTTAAATTTCTACTGAATGGATGGTTTTATTTACGTTTTTATGTTTGCAGTTGTTTGGTGAAATTGTGATGTTGGCAAGTGCATCCGTCTCCGGTTTATATTATCGCATCATGTCCGATGCTGCACACAATCGGACCGTCGATGGCACTCGTACTGGTATTGAACAACGTGTTAAACTAGAATGTGAACGTGAGCAACAGGAGCAATTGCTTCTAAGCGTTATTCCGGCATATATTGCGGCGGAAGTAAGTAGACAACCGTTCACAACTGAGTTGCGGCTTTGCTGGCTCCACACTGCACTGTTTCATTTTTTTTTATTGTCTGTTGTAGGTCAAACGTAGCATCATGCTTAAAATGGCTGATGCTTGCCAAAGAGCAGGGGGTCAATCAAATACTTCTGCAACTAGATTCCATGAGCTGCATGTACAACGGCACAATAATGTATCCATACTTTATGCTGATATTGTAAATTTTACGCCTTTATCGGAGCAACTGTCCGCAAGTGATTTGGTAAAGACCCTTAATGACTTATTCGGCAGATTTGATCAAATTGCACAGGTAAATTTGATTGCAATTCTTTCTTAAAATTTATCAGATATAACTTATCAGACCAATATGTTATTTTAAACTAACATATTTTGTTAAATTTAAATACATTTATAAAATTTTTATATCTGCACAGGAAAATCAATGTTTACGTATTAAAATTCTTGGTGACTGCTATTATTGTGTATCGGGACTGCCTATTTCTCGACCGCAACATGCTTCGAACTGTGTTAATATGGGTTTACAAATGATAGATGCTATACGGTAAGTGTTCAGAACTACACATATTCGTATATGAACATAAAATGAAATTTACGAATGCCAGTAAATTCAAGAAGTTTTGTTTAAATTTAGTGTACCAGTATGTTGAATGAAGTTTAGAATTTCAATTAAATTCTCTAGGCTTAGTTTATAAACAAATATATTTTTACTTAAAGAATGAATTTAATTGCCCACATATAAGAAACTTTTGAAGCGTTTCTTAAAAAGTTATAAAGAAACTTTGTTCCTTTCTTCTACTGGTTATTACGAGTATAGAAGAAGTTTGAAAAGTAACTAGTAAGATAAGATATTACGAAGTCTACTCGAGCGGTGGAAATACTCAATCTTTACAAATTGTTTAAAATACTCTTACTATGTTACACTTTAACATATGATAACTTTACAAAACCAACTCTATTCTTAAAATGCCTAAATGTTACTCATTTTTAATATTTAACTCAAAAAATATATACACCAAACCCAACATATAGAAGTATATGAAGACAGTGCTGAAAAGGATTACTTGTATCATATGAACTATAAGTGAGATAATTCTTTTGATTTTTAAGTTACATATGAATTATAAGAAATGCAAAGTAATGTAAAAATTAATAATATTAATTACCTTAATTTGATCAATTTTCTAAGCACCGATTTCTTAATATACAAAACATGCTGCATACATGGGTGTACACAGATAAGGGCGTGGGCGCCACCCCTTCCCCCTAAATTTCAAAATGTTAGCATTGTTTTGAATAAAAATTTAATACTGCTTACAAGAAGAGTTTAAAATTAGTCTTTTTTGTGAATAAAATCTAATTTTCAAGTTTTCAATGAACTAGGGGTGAAATATACTAGCTAATATAAGCCAAAAAGAAAAAAAAAAGTACTAAAGAGGGGTACCTTAGCACACTTTATAATATATAATAATATTATATCAGTATATGAGCGCACTAATTACGGCCCTGGGTACGCCCATGTCTATATACATATATACAGAATGTTTAATGGGAATTTCCAATAAAGTTTAGAGATGATTTATTCATTTAAGTAATAAAAAAAACATATAAAAATGGATATAGAGAGACAAAAAAAAAAACAAAGCTTAGCTAAACAATCTTTAGACAAAAAATTACTAATATCTTAAACAACGGTTCATTCAGCTTAATTCATATACCAATATATAGTCCATCTATTCTCTGACTTGATGGCTAAAAAGTCTTAAATAAGCTGGCAAATTATAACTCTTTGAACATTATTTAATTATTTCCAAAATTTTGTGAACATTTTTGTTCATTATGTTTTGTTCAATACATCAGTATCTAATTATTTCGCAATTATTTTTTGCGGGAAAATTTTTCTTCTTTAATACTTCGTCTTCTCTTAATTATAATGTGAAACAAGCAAAGTTTTTTCAACAAATATTACTAGACTAAGAGTTCAACCATTTTATACTAAATTATTGTTATTCACAAGTTCAAAAATATAAATTCAAGAACGTAGTCTAATCGCAAAATATTTTCAATTATGTCTATCACGCGCTATAACTCTTAGTTCACTGAACGATTTGCTCGACTTTCACTTGATTGTCCTTCTCCATGTAGTCTTTGGTCGAACGCGATTTCTTCTCCTTAGGTGCTATATGCATAACCAATTTTGTAGTGAGATTGTACAAGTTTTTACACATTCAGCGCTTATAGAGCGATTCTTAATGTGAAGTGGAAAATCCTAAACGCAACATATGGTGTCATAAACGACACTTTTGTTTGACAATTGCTACAGAAATAGTCCTGGCTAATTGAGACTACGAATAAATAAGTTTATCATTTTAATAAACCAGAACTAAGACATTAGGAAGTTTTTGGTTCAAGATTTATTGCTACAGAAATAGTCCTGGCTAATTGAGACTATGAATAATTAAGTTCATAATTTTAATAAACCAGAATTAAGACAGAAAGTTTTTGGTTCAAGATTTTTTGCTCGCTAGATATTTTTGACGCAATATCTTGGCAAAATTTTCCTTTTATATGAGTTTTTCATTTGCTGCAATCATTTCCAAACATTATTGGACGATCCCAGAGCACAGTCTGTATAAGTTAAGTATTTGCAAGGAATATTAAATAGAAGTTTTATTGCAATTATTAAAATATTTGTTTTAAATTTATTATATTTTCCAGAAACGAGGACTTTAATGTTTATAATAGGGCAAAAAGGTATGTTCTTTGTGATTCATGTGGGTACTGTGTTTTTTCTTCTCAATGTTGATGTCAAAAATTGAGTGTCTGAATTATATATGTATGTGTTGGTCAGTCACATAAATGTGTTTGCTGAGTTTATATTTTTGCGTACTTTATTTCTATGTAAAAAAAATTAAAGAAATCGATGTATTTTAATATGTTTATGAATGTTTAATATCTATAATATCCATTATCAACAGTCTAAATACATAATTTTTGTATTTACATACAATTAAAATAAGTTTTTATTATGAACTAAAATCCATTTTTTGTATATGTACATTGTGACCGAAAAGTTTCCGGAAATAAATAAATAAAACGCAAAATTCTTAATCTTCATCAATATTTATTTTATCTCCTTCAAAATATGCTCCATTAGAAGCGATACACAAATGCCAACGTTTCTTCCAATCATCAAAACATTTTTTATAGGCGCTTTCCGGTATGGCTTTGAGTTCCCTCTGCGAATTCTGTTTTACGTCTTCTATGGATTCAAAACGCGTTCCTCTGAGTGGTAATTTGAGGTTGGGAAACAGGAAAAAGTCACACGGTGCAAGATCAGGTGAATACGGTGGCTGTTCGATGGTATTTATTGAATGTTTGGCCTTAAAATCGTTGATAATGTTGAACAAATTGAGGTGAATCGGAACAAGCCGGGCGTTGACACGTCGCATACACAAATTGTCCACCAAAATCAAACGAGCCATCTCACGACCGATGCCTAGCTCTCGTGCTATCTCTCTAACACTCACATGAGGATTTTTGAACACGATTTCCTTTGCCTTTTCAATGTTTTCGTCGGTGGTAGAGGTCGAAGGTCGTCCAGAACGCGGCATGTCTTCGACGGTCGTACGACAGTCCTGAAAGGCTTTGTACCACTCATAAACTTGAGTTTTCGATAAAACTGATTCCCCATAAGCCTTTTGTAGCATTCGCAACGATTCTGCACACGAAATTTCGTTCGAAAAACAAAATTTGATGCAAACTCTTTGTTCAATATTTTTTTCCATTGTTTTTTTCGCAACGCACTACTGAGGTGAACTGGTTTCAACAGCTGCCGTAAACGAACTGTCTGACAGATCGCGCTCATTTTTGCCATAGTAATTAGGACAGTGCTGCTGCCAAACTACATAAAACTTAAAATATCGAAAAATATACAGCGCGCGAATTTTAAATGAGAATTTCCGAAAGCTTTTCGGTCACAATGTATGTACATATTTGTATATATTAAATCAAACTTCCATAAGGCGAAATATTTCAATAAGAATTATAATTTTTAATTTCTTTATTTCTATTTTACTTTCAAATAATGCCCAATTTACATAGCAAATCTGCACATAATTAATTTTTATTCAATTAAAAGTTTATTACTAAAAGTGGTTTATGTATATATTTATGAATATATGGCACTTTATTAAAAATTTATGTCTGACTTCAAGTTTATATTTCATATCTACCACAACACTTGAAGAGACAAATCTTTTTTTTAGCAATATCTCTAATGGTAATATATCACAATATATTTTTATCGTTGATCGATTTGTTAGGATGCCCAGACTTCATCACTTACGACTTTTTGAGCTTCCTAAAAGCGTGCACACCATGTATAAATAAGTTGCTGCTTGTGACCATTGTATTTATTTTTTGGTAGGTTAGAATCAGAATACTTACTTACCAGAACATATTATAACCATATAATGCTACTATATATAATGCTATTATATCGTGTGTATTGAATCGAATGCTACAGTGCAGTCAATATGGGTTTTAAGACAAGACTTAACGCAAGCTCATTAATCCGATATTTAGTAAAACGAAAAATCGCCGAACGTTAGGCGATACTAATATACGTCTTGATTATTCACTCTTTAAACACAAAGAAAGAATTGCTTTCAAGATAGTTATCACATACGATCATAACACTACACGAATACACAAAAAAATCTTTCAAAAAATTAGACGGAGCGCGTACAATTTAAAAAGTTGCGTTATTTTTTAATTACATATCATAAAGTATTTTGGCATCATTACTGGGTCATATGACCCAGTTTTGTGGCAGATTATAAATTTATACGATAACACACGTTTTTCAAAATTCGGTACTGACCAACCACACAAAAGCTCTTCAATAAACTGGAACAAAGTAACTGCATTAATTTATAGTGGAAATTAGGACACCCAGACCACAAAAAGGTTTACTCTGTGGGCTCAAAACAAAAGCTCATCAATTAATTGTTTTAGCCTTGCAAAAAAACTCAATCTAGAAAATCGCAGATACTATAAGTTATTCAAATATAGAAAATGATGGATGAACTGTAACGACTACAGACAGGGTATGGATTTGATCATTCCACGAAAGACATGAAGGGCACAAACATCTTAAAGGCTAATTCTGTCGCCAAATGCATAGCACATTAATTTATTGGATCTGAGCAATTCTAACTGTCAGAAAGAATACTTATTTAAAACCAGATACTAGAAGTTATTCCAATATAAAAATTAATAGATGAATTGTGAAAACTAAAGGCAGGTTATGGACTTAATCATTTTACGAAAGAGATAAAGAATAGAAACATCAAAAAGGTTGATGTCGGTTGAGGAACACATCAATTAATTGGATCAGAGCGATTCTAACTCTCAGAAGAAATGAATATTTAAAAACTACTGAATAAACTATAAAGACTTAATACAAGTTAAGAGAGTCATCATTTCATCCAGCACAGTCTTAAATAGAATACTTTCACTGAGTAGAAAGAATATTTAAAT